GATAAATTAAGGGACAAAAATATTTTACTTTCACATTTCACATAGTGATGCGTTATACAAAGTCCAATATTAAACATCAAACTTTATAATTTTACTGTATTAACCAAGTGGTGACTGAGACTTACCTCCCGAGTGGAAATGGGTTAATATTCGAATGGTTCTTGTGTTTAAGAATTCGAAGGTAAGGCATATTTACAAACACGGTATACTGTTCCGACAATATTATGCCCTATCACATCTGTTACTATATTCCGATATTCCTGAAGTCTACTCACCATAATGGTACACAAAAGTAAAACGAGTTTCAGTATACGTCAATTTGTGTTTTTTCATAATGCTAAAGGAAAATAGTATAGACAAATAGTCGCCGTACTTAATACATTGTTGACTAATCAAGAGTTAACTCGTGTTTGCAGTTGCATTAGCTGTTTCAATTTTCGAAACGCAGGGCAATATAAAATACTTCAAAAACAAAATATTCAAAGTTATATGAAAGATACGTCCAAAGATTCATTTCGATTCGTTGTGTGTAAATAAAGTATATTGAAGTCTATTTAGACTGTCTCCTTTTATATTTAATTACGGAATAATAACCGGTGACATGGGATAGCTTCTGCGTAAGATTGCCCGTCAACAATGTGTTAATATAAATGAGAACACAGTAGGGAACATCGTTAAAAGACTGGGAAGTAAGTGCACCCCCAAACTACACGTAAGACCTTGAAAGAAAGTGGATATAATGATGGAGTTTCTCGATAGAAACCGTATATAAACGAAATGAATCGAAAGAAAAGATTTACATTTGGCTGATGAGATTGTTTCAAAAGAGGACACGTTCCACGTGATAGAATCTGTCATTTTTATGATGAAATTAAATTTAATATTTTTGGTTCAGACGGACGACGAATGGTGTAGGTAACAAAGAACGAAGAATTTAAACTTCAAAATACAAAACGCAGTATAAAACGCAGAAGTGGAAACGTTCTTGTAAGGGAATCTACCTCAACGTTCGAGACGGGCGACTTAGACTTCACTGACAATATAATGGACAAAATCATATATTTGAACATTTTAAACAGTAATTTACACAAAAGTTTACACTTTCAAATGTTACCAAAACAACAATCCTAAACATAAGCCATGCATTCTGCAGAAATGTTTATTATTTAATTCCTCCAAATTATTGTGAGGCGGATTAGAAAAACCACAACATCAAAAGAAATGTTACAACAAAGTTTAGAAGAACAATGGGATAACATTGATAGGCAATATTTGAAAACAATAGTTTGTAATTATTGTACAAAATATTAAATTACTTTTTAGCTATTCAAAGTGACAAAAAATTATTTTCTTTTACAGCTGTCTGAATATTAAAGTAACTTTGAGATCAGACGTTATTTCATTTGAATCTGTTATTTACTAAATGTGTTGGCAATTATATAAATAAAATTTATACTAACGTTAATTAAGCATAGTACCTTAACGTTATATCCGCACTCACGTATACAAAATTCTATGTACTCGTAACAAAAGTTTTTCGCGATTATTTTGGAAACTAAATGACAGCTATATTTCTGTCACAGGAAAAGATTGTTCAAAATTTGCGTTTCTTCCACGAATTATCAATCTTATGAAAATTGTTTATAAATTTCCAAACAGTACTTTTGTTTACCTATGTGTCAATAATCAACATTTTTTGTCATGCTCACTAACCTAAATATTAAAGTATTTACATTAATTATATTACTCGAACAAATTAAATATTTTTCAACGATTTCTTTTTCAATTCAACGATGATAGTATTTCTTGTAGCCTGTTTTGACCGTTTTACAATGCATCCGATATTATCATAAATAACGTATCAAACATTGTTATAAATGATTTATAAGCGAATTATAAATTAAAATGCTGACTAATATAAATTAATGCATCAACATTTTATCATAGTTCTGCATGGATATACATATACACTAATGAAAACAATTATAAAGCTCGCTTAATTTTTTGTATTGTTGTAATTTTTATCTGAGATTCGTTATTGTTTTTGGGTGCAGATACACTAAAATACATAACAAATGATATCCTAAAATTATTTTTTGCATTTCGTATGTGATTAATAAATTATTAAGATTATTTGGAAAAGCGCTGTTTCGCTGTTGAACAAAACTATAAATTCAAAAAATTTGTAAAAAATGGTTTATTTTAAATTACGTTAAATTGCAACAACAAAAACGTTTAAGAATGTGTTGCTGTACCATTCTGACTTATTACTTGGAAAATTTTCATGTTTATGCTAAGAAATGACTTTTTTATCAGCTTTCCTCAATTACTTTCTCCGCTTTATTTATTATTACTTTTAATAGATTATTCGTTGCATATCCGGTGAATTATTTTTATAAATAAGATGAATACTTTTTACGAACACCAGATATATCTAATTAAATGTGTTTGTCTTTATAATCGTGATAGTAACAGTTTAGCAGATACCGAAAATTTATTTTAATTGTTACTTTTTCGTACACGCGAACAACAAACTTCTTAACATTTGAAATATTTACAAGTTACGGAAGACCAAATTTTTTTATTCTTAATTAGACGTCGAGTTTTATTTGAGATAGAATTTTTGATTTTCTACATTCGGTGCCAATGAATTTATGTACCAACTGTAGTTGAGTAATTTAAAAACATGTATCTTTAAACTTGCGCGTGAAGGCGTATTTGCACGTGCAAGGTAAAATGATACAAATCATATTTTCGAAGAATCAAAATTTATGCTCTCTAGCATCTTTGGTCCACTGTGCAATACCAGCGGATGGCCGTAAGCATCATAGCGTGGATAATACGACAGCGCATGTAACACGTGTTTTCTAATCAAGTACTTACTTACATGTTATGATACGTAATTACATTTAACTTCGTATTTGTCTGCAATAAGTATATAAAATAATTGAATTTAATTCATTAGCGAGCACTGAGGCTTTCTTGCAACAGAAATACGCACAATAACAACAAAAAGTAACAACGGAAAAAATAATCAGAATAAAGAAAAAAGTAAAAACTTTAACACTTATCTACAGTGCCGGAAACAAGATCAACGCGGTTGCTAATTGTATTCGCATAGTTGCATATTCTGATTGTAAAATCGTTATATCTACAATTCTGACAAAAAATCCATTCTGAAGACCAGGATGTCGCGCAAGGGTCATTGTGACTGGCATTTAAAATTAAAATTGAGTAAAATAACGCAAAAAGTTGGTAGGAAAGTTACAAAATTATGTTGTTATTGATAGAAGCACATCGAAAATCCAAATACGACTGTACGACCGCCGCCGATTTTACTCATCCGTCTACCGTACAGACCGCCGACCGTGCTTGCCGGTCGTTGACTACAATTGACGCCTGTACCGAAGAAGTTAATCATGTTCTAGAATGTAACATCTCTATGCATAAAAATGACATGTTATACGCAAAATAAAACTGATCAGCCCTAAGTTTTAATAAAGTTAGAAATGTCACCCGATGGTTACTTTAATTCGTTACTTAAATTTCAAAAAATGGTTTTGCAGCATCCTTTTTAAAGTTATCGCAAATTACTGGCATCCCTTTTAATATTTTCATTTATTACTTACAGTAATTAAACAAATACAAAACATTGTACATAACCAAGGGAAATACGTATCTATTTCCAAAATTTGAATGGGTAGGTATATGTCGAAAATAAAAACATGTCACGTATGTTGTTTTCCTAACCACAGATGTAAAAACGAAGATACGATGTTGAAGGACTTGAGAAATTTAATGTGATTGATAAATAATCATCTTTGCAAACTTTCATTGATTTTCTATGGAAACACATGGAAATTCGAGCAGATCAAACAGATCAAAAATGGATAATAATAATTATCTATCGTTACACTCACCTCTCCTCGTAGAGTCGAATCTTCCGAACAGTGGCGTAAATCGTATTAAAAATTAGAAAATTTAGGGTTGACACCTACACCGGGCGGTCAGAGTACCTGTCCACCCCACCCCGACCACACAAATGTTATGAGCTTCGAGTGATTGGAGTGGGGTGGACAACTATTGTGACGAATAATAATGTGCCAACAACCACCAATCGCGCGATACGAGGATACCACCGGTACCCTCAATGCACAGCGTGTTACACACTACTAAATACACCTATCACTCGGCATATTCGATAGTATGAAACATGCGTCGTGATGTCATAGTCCCCACCAGCGGATATCGAACACCAATGAGCACGTATCAGTTCAGAAACTCACCATTGCGGCATCCAGTGTGGGAAACATAAAAGTCGCATTCTTGCGCATAGCATTTGCCAACAGATCACGATAGGTTGGCAGCAATGACGATGCATAAACCACAAACAAGGTATGTAGATAGACTTAACAACCAATAGAAAATTTTGTTACATTGATTTTGTTGCTCTCGAGAATTTTAGAGCCCACTTACTATTTTCGTGTTATATCGACTTAGGCTAATATTGCACGACAGCGCTACAAGTTACAGGAAGTAAAATAAAAAATATTGATACACAGATTTATACAAAACTGTCCATATAGTGTATTTTTCTGTTTACTGCGGGGTGCTAAATCAGTGCCCGCGGGCACTCTAGTGACACTCCCCTCACAGAAAATTACCCTCTCCATAGATACTTTTACCTGTTGTATTGAACTCTACATAGAACTAATCACATACACAGTCTCGGGCAGCTCCTTGAGTAGAGGTAGTGGGGAAACGCTATTTTCGAGCTACTAGCGTGAGGGGAATAATTTTAAACACCTCTGTTCTAAGAGTAAGAATATTTTCATCAATAATCGGCTTAAATATATTTCCATTACCTACTACACCGTCTCACATGATCGTTTCTTCATTGGTCCATTTATGTTGACAAAAGCACATGAACGTTCCTAAAACCTTTGGTTACTACTTTCATGAGAATTCATCAAATTATCGATCGATTGAATAACATTCTTGAAGTTGACACTCTAGTTACTTTGGTAAGAATTGTTGTGTCAGTTGAGATCATTTTGTTCGGCGGAGTTCCAGCGTATTCTGAAAAATGGCGTTGTTACGCAGTCGTGCTATTTTGCAGACATGCAGACGATCATTCTCCCGTGCTACTCCATGTTTATATTCTAAAGAAGGTAAATTGTTACTTCTTTTATATAAATGGTTACAGAGATACTCGTTGTGAAGTTTATACGTTTTCATATTACGTAATGTAATATTGCAATTTTATTAGGTCTTTGACATAAAAATTTGTTCTATATATATTAATTTTTGTAGAAACACTCCCTGATCCCCTTGAACTTGCCACTGGACTGGAAAAGCGAGAATTACTTGCTGCGGCAGCTGGCAATTTTGTAAGTTTAAAGATTATACTCCCCTCACATTTGCAATACATTTTATCTTTTGAAAATACCGATTTTCATTATATGAATGAGTATTGTTATGTTTCATATAATACTACTCAAATAAAACAAGAAAAACTAAATAAATTTCATAACACATTTTTTAGATATTATATAAATTACATAAATTTCATATTGCCTCCAAATTATTTTCAAATTAATAATTTAGCGTAATAGAAATTTTTAGTGTTTCTATAATTTCTCTAGATACTTTTACATTAGTATTTAATGTATTATTAATCATTTTTTAAATTTTAGGACCCATATTACATGAAGGGTATTAAAATATCACCAGATTGTACAAAGGAAAACCCAAATCTGGTACCCAGTGTATCTGAAAGTCGAGTTGTAGGATGTGTTTGTGAAGAAGATGCTTGTCACGTAAACTGGATGTGGTTACATGCAGGCCCACCAAAGCGATGTGAATGTGGATTTTGGTTTAAACTTGTTAAAAAGGAACCCCTTTAATGTGATTTCGAATTAATTAGTGAATTATATAAGGCATAGAATTTACATTATATTACATGAAAAGCTGATTTTATTTATTACCCTCCTGTATCCCACTTTTGTATCTTATAAAATTATGTATTAGCCACTATGAACCATAAATAATGAAATATACATTACATAGGTTTTAGAAGTATCTATGTGAATAACAAAACAACAGTTATTTTATCCTTGTAAAAAAAGTTATTTCATGAAGTTGGAAGATTGAAAATGCTTTTTTTTTTAAATAAAAGACTGTATCGAAAGGAAAATGTTATTAAGTATAAGATTTATTTTTATTTTATAAATACGCTTTATTCTAATAAAAATAAGACTTCAACTTTATATTTTATAATTCATCATGTTATATTACATTTAAAAACAAGTTCGACATGCAACAAATAACGAATGTTTTCGTAATGGTGCAGCGGACTAATAATATAAATTAATGGGAACTACTATGTTTCTTTAATGAATTCATTATAGTTTTGTACATGTAACTATCATTCTATACAAATGATATAACAGAAACGTTAATTATACAAATTTCATGTTACTTTTTTACTAAGTTTACGTAATCACGAATATTTTACAATAAAAAAGATTGTTTAACTTTCCCTAGACATATTAATATAAACAGCAAATCATTATAAAATATATTGTATCTTATCAATATATAATCTGTAAACTATCTTACGTTACAGGTGTAATCTCTATGCGCAATGATCTTCCATTTCAGATATATAAATAGATACTTAACCCTTTAACAAAACTTGACGAGTATACTCGTCACGAGAAAATGACCAATTTTTGCATAATGACAAGTATACCTGGAATGTGAAAACATTAATTACCTTTTGCTATGAACATCAAAATTTTCGTAAAACTTGCAAGATATATTTCTTTTGTTAGAATAAATGAATCAAATGGGCAGTAGCTTTATTTTTACGTAAGAAAATATTTTTATTTTCAACGAAAATAAAATAACACTGCAGTTGCTTGAGTTATCTCTTGTGAAAACTATATACACGAACTGCGTCTTATGCTTGGAGAAACGAATGCGTATTTCTCTTGAAGCGATTAACTCTTTAACGGTGGATTTCATTTTAAAATTCTTTATTTGCATGTATAATTGAAAACAAGCGATGACGAGTATACTCATTAAACACTGTTAAAGAATTAAGTATTTGATAATTAAATGAAAAAAGCCAAGGATGTGTCTTGTAAAACATTTCCTTATGCCATCCTAAAAATATGTTTCTAGCTATGGTGGCAGAGAAGCGTCAATATGTTCGTGAGTTAGCTGTATATTACATTATAAAGTACAAAATTTGAATGAATTTTAATGCTAGTATGAACGAACGAATATATTGTTGAGCAAATTAATTGGAAACGAGTTAATGTAACGAAATCAGCTTTTTTGGGTAACTTCCCAAATGTATCGATTATTAGTTTCTGTTCCGTCGTCCTCCTTGCCACGCTCGGACAATAGAAAGAATAATAAAATTATCAAATTATGTATCGGAGACAGCTTTAAAGGCATGCGCTCCGGAAGATAACGACACATAGGAAAGGAATTTAAATTATGAAGTTTTTGTGACATTTAAGTACACTCTTGTTTTGTTAATTAGAAAAAGAGTGACTAAAATTCTTAGTGTCATTTTCACGTGATAAGCTTTGCTTCATAAAAAATCTCTCGTTATTTTTTGTTACTTTTCTAAATTGAAATTTCTATCACTTACGCTGAAGAACTGAGTCCAAGTATTCAAAGACACACTCAACATTTATATTCCATTAAAGATCTACCAAGTTTCAACACTCTAACTAAAAAACCGAAACTTTCAACGATTTTTAGGAGTAAAAAATATCATCTGACTATGCTAGTATTTTGTTCATTCGTTGTTAACATCAGTCTACAATGTTTCCGATCCTGAATATTCCGATCCAATAACATTTACATTTTTCGCTCTATCTTATTGTATATACAATAATTATCTTTCACAAAATTGTGGAAGTTAAAACAATTAAGTTGTATATTGATCTGAATTTTTAAAGTATTCAATATTTACAAGTTATAATCTTTTGTGTTTCAAAAATATTCTTAATATTCGTATTTACATACACAATATCCACGTATAACATTTAATTATATGATACGACGATTATAATGCAAAATTCATTAATATTCACAAAAACATGATTGTCATTGCATTATTACTAATCTATAATTCACCTAATTTTCGTTAATCCGCTATACTTCATGTAGATTCTACTAAATACCATTTAAATTGTTGTATACTCTTTGAGGCTCCCTCCGAAAATTGTTAAAACTCGAAGTTGTTAAAACATCAGTCCTTGGTCTACGAAACAGTAGCACGTGAGGCTCTATAAAATAATTTAAATTAATTATCATTCATATGATCTATCAAAATATGTGAAATAAACGCAAATAATTTAACTGTATCTTTATTAGCGCTTCAATAAATAATATGTATTCATTATTAAAGAGGTCATTAAAAAATGCATATTTTATTTAAAATATATCTGTTTTTTATGCTATAGCATAATAAAAAAAACTTAATAACCTTTAACACGTGTAAATGATTTAATATTTATTGTATTTGTTCAATGTGTTTAATACAGAAGATGTTTTCTTTTCAAAAAATTGTAAATCAATTTGTTTGTGCGGACAACGCCCCAGATGCGTTGAGCATTCCCCTTACTTTTATTGGAAGAGAGGGGATATCGTTTAACACGAAAAGTTCATGTAATAACTACATTTATTTTATGATATTCTATTCATGAATAGAAACATAATTTTAGAATTTATATTTTAAATTTTAAATAAATGATTTTATATCGCTTATTTGTTGTATATGTTAATTATTAAATTTAAATATTAAATATAAAGATTGTGTCTTTGAATTAGTACATTGTTCGAATTTTGTTTATGGTAAGTAATGTTTATTTAATTTCCATTTTATTTTATTATTTTTGTTTTGTTTTATACATATATATGTATGTAATATTCCTGTAACTCAATGAAGATAATATAATTGTATATTAGTATAATTATAATTTGAATATTTTTTTATTATAAATTAACATTTCAGACAATGTCTTCTAATGATGAATTTCTTTCATGTACCTCTCAACCAAAAATGAAAAGAAGAAAGAACTCGGACAAGGAAAGACTACAACTTCAAAACTGTCTAGAAATTAAGGGAAAATTAAAAGAATATTACTTTTCTGAAGATGAGCACATAGAAAAGAATTCTAATAAGGATGGAACTACTTTTTACCCTAAAATTGTGTTAGGTATTGAAGAATGGTCGAATGACCATCCTCAAAGAAATTTTATACAGTTTATTGGAAAACCAGGATTAAAAAAATCAGTTCAAGAGCAAACACCTTTCTCTTACTTTTCTCTCTTTTTTACCTCAACATTTCTGAAACTTTTAGTGACAGAAACTAATGCATATGCAGAAATTTTATTTTTACAAGAATATGGAGAAAGAACAAGAATTTCCGATTGGAAGGACACTTCAGTAGATGAAATAAAAATCTTTTTAGGAATACTATTTTTAATGGGCCTAATTAGAATAAATCGCATGAACGATTGTTGGAAAAAACATTATTTATTCAATCTACCTTTCGGAAAATTTATGGGGCGTGACCGCTTTTTATTGCTCTTAAGATGTCTTCACTTTGACCGGTTACAACATTCCTCTGATAATCTACATAAAATAAATACAGTAATTGATTATTTCAATTACAATATGGATACAATTTATAGTCCTAGTAGGAACCTTTTAATAGAAGATAGTATGATTTTTTGGGCAGGACAATATAAGAAACACAAATATAGATTAAAATTGCACACTTTATCAGAACCCTGTGGTATAATTAATGAATTATATTTACACTTTTTAAGTAACAAAAATGCAGAGGACAAACATTGCGTACAAAAAGTTGTACACAAGTTATTAGAAGGAAAAATAGGTCAAGGGCATGCAATTTTTATGAGCAGTTATTATAGTAGTGTACCATTAATTAACAATCTTTTTATAAAAAAAACTTATTGCACAGGAAACGTAAATCCAAATAAAATCAATAACTTACCAGAGATAGTTAAAAAAAAGTTGATTAAAGAGGAATGTGTTTATAATCACAACAACCAAGGAGTTTGTTGTTGCAAGTGGAAGGATAAAAAGAATACATATGCTATTTCAAGTGAATTCGGAGGGGAACTTGTAAAGATTGGAAATAAACATGGAATGGAAAAGAAGAAACCAAAACTTATCAACGAATATAATAAACAAATGCAAAATAGATTGGATAGACAAGATCCAATGCTATCATATTATCCTTTGACACATAAGTTTCTGCAATGGTACAAGAAGTTAGGCATACATATCATCCATATAATGCTCAATAATGCCCATTTTTTTTACAACAAGTACAATGGCGGTACAAAGAAAGATTTGCATGATTTTCAGTTTGAGATTGTTTCGACATTATTACCACCGCCGGAACAAAATATTCCATTGTTTTCGCCACAGTTTAAAATACATTTACCTGAATTGCTTCCTAAAGGCATAAATAATAGAACTATGAGGAAAAGATGTAAATTATGTAATGATAAAAAGAATATTAGGCTAGATACAATTTATCATTGTCCAGATTGTCCATCAAAACCAGGTTTATGTCTATCCCCATGTTTCAGAGAATTTCATAACTATAAGTGAAGTATTATAATTCTATTATTACATACTTCCAGTGAATTTATAATATTTGTAACATAAAAACAAATTGTTCTGACATATTAAGACTGATATTTGATACAAATGATTTTTTTGCTTTCTTTTTACTCTTATTTTAGTGTTAATTTTATTAAAATAAATTCTTATATGTTTCAAGTTATATGATCGCAATTTAATTTATCAATGCTCATTTCTTTCAAAGAAATGTTTTTGAACTACATACCTGGTACATGCATCATATAATGAACCCAACCAGGACTTTGTTGAACTCCTAAATTTCTCCACTCAGTTTCTGACATAAGATGTGTTTTTGGAACGTGTCTTGCTAAATCAACTGGTAAAATCACATGTCTGGAGAAGTAAATAATAATTTAAAAAGAAGTTATAATTCTTGTAAGTCTGTTATTATTAAAACATTCATATTTAATTAGAAAAAGGCTTTAATTATATTAAGTATAATAATAGCATTACTTTAAAAATGATTCCATTTTTATATGAAACAAAATACTAAAGTTTTCACTTTATTATGAAAAAAAGTAATTTGTAAATGTCAATTACATCGAAGTCAATATTAATGTCAGTATTTGTATATAAACTACAAATATTTGTATACACACCTATACTCATATTTATCGTCGCTGTATTTTTCAGAATATTGGATTTGATCAATTGGCATTTTGAATATCGTATTTTGATGATTCAAAAATGCTAATAAATTTTATTTTTAAAAATAAATAAAATTGTTGTCATAACAGCCGTATATAGATGTACAATTATACTATCTTCTCTGCTCTAGTAGATAAAGTTTTATACGTAAAGAAATTGAGTAGTGGATTTTTGGAAAGCGACAATAGGTAACAACAGGTATTCGCGCCCTTTCAGAAACTATCGCGCCCTCTTAACATTTTACTTAAACTACGAATGAAAAGATAAGTATCTTAAATATGTCGTAAACATGAAAATGTTATTTTAGAATTTTGGTATTTGACAAATTTTAAAAAATGCAAGACTTATGCCCATTGTGTTTGAAAAATGGTGTAAAGAGAAATATAAAATTATTACAAATTAATTTACAAGAAGCTGTATGGATGTGTGAAGATGAAAAGGTAAAATATTGTTAATATTATAACGTTATAGTATATCAATTTATTTATTTTCTTACAATCGCTATTAATAATATAATTACATTTTTCAATTAAAATAACTGTTTAGGTAAGGTGTAACTTTAGTTAGTATATTTATTTTATATTTTAGTGTACATGGCCTTTTGGATACACGGGTTTTGTACTTTCTCCACGTCTAGTAGGAAAAATATGGTCCTGTTATTGGGATGATCATAAGTCAACAGGAAAATTAAAAGAGACTGCTTTAACATCCATCCAACTACCATTATCTAGTCCACCTACAATACCTGTTAAAAATGTGCCAATAGAGTATGTTACTACTTCTAATTTAATCACAAATTATACAGAAAACATAAATAGTTTAAATCCAATAGAAGTAAAAAGTTCTACTGACGATTCTGAAACTTCTTTACATATAAAGTCAGGAACATTATCTTTTAACAATGATAAAAAGGAATATAAAATAGAAGTAACTAATAACTTGGATATAACTAACAATAGTTTACAATTAGTTAATGATAAAACGGAAAATGCAAACATTAATAATGAGCTTATAAATGTATCGGATAATAAGTTTGAAAGAAAAAAAAATTATATACAAAACAATCAAGATGTGAGTATTGTAAAGGAAATTCCTAAGATAAAAAATATTGAAAAAACAAACATTGATCTTTCTAAATTAAAAAAGAATCACGTTACTGCTTTTAAAAGAATAGATGAAAAATTGTTACATACCAATAAGTATGGAAATATAAAAAGTAAAACATGTCAACCCACATATTTATCAGAATCAGAAAAATCGATAAATTCAGAATCATTTATAAAGGAGGATTATAATAATGAAATAACAGAAATAAAGTCTAATTTAAATGTAACTAAGGTAGAAATAGATGGTTTGCCCCCGATAACATTATCTTTTGAAATTCCTGTATGTACTACAATTTCACAAACAGTTACAGCTAATATGGAACAAAATATCAATGAAGGCATAATTATCGGCAACAAAAAATCAAATGTACCTCTTATAAGACGAAAAGTAACTAGTGGTAAACAATATGAAAAGTTCAGTTTTAGTAACATAAAAAAAAAGTTAGAAATAAATAATTCAGTAGACACTAATAATAAAAATAACAAAATCAGTAATAATAATGTAAAGAGCAGAAATTCTGATAAAATATCTGATGGTAATGAAAATGTTACAGGTTCTAATACTAATTGTGAACAACTTGCTTCATTAACTCATGACATCTATAACTGTACATCAAAACGAAAGAATTCTGTAACAACAAACAATTTCCCTACCCAAGAGAGTATACTTCAAGATACTTCAATAGCAAATACTAGTATAAACATAGATACTGTTTTAGACGATCTTTTAAGTAACGATTATAGTGTTTCAGAAAATATAAATGATGATTGGCTAAATTCTCTGTTAATTTAATATTAAGTCAATGTAATATATAAGATAAAACTTTAATATGTGTTGTATACAGTAATATTAAACAGTATTGAAAATCTCATTATAAGAAGTAATTTTGTAAAATAAGCAAGAATAAATATAATTTAAGGAATTGGTTTTCTCATTCATGAAAAAAATTCTATATCACTTTATGGTAATTGTAATGACTTATTCTTATATTGCCGTGAAAACAGTTAATAGGGTTTAGTGAACAAAACAGATCAGACATAAGCGATTATATTAATTGTCTGTATTTACATGTATGAAAATTTATTATATTTTTCATGTGAGAAACTTTCATGTTACGTTCATAGTTAAAAAATTTAGTGCATAAATGTGTTATAGTAATTAAGTAAATGTTTTTAAATTGTTAAAGCAGTTGTTACTAAATTAATATTTTTTACAATCCTCTTTCAAATATACGCACACTGTGAGTATCAATTGTAAAATAATGTCACTTAATTTTCAAAATTATTACGAATTAATGTAAATCCTCAAATGTAAAATCTGAAAAGTGAAGTAGATTAAAACTCATTGTGAAAACAAAAATATTATATAATATAAAATAGGTTTTTACAAAAAGTTTTAGAACATTTTATTAATTACCTAAAATATTAAAGAAACAAAGAATATCCGAGAATCATTGGAAAAAATATATTTGTATTTCACAATTACAATGAATTGTAAAACAAAAGTGGTAATTTATATATTAATAAAAAAGTGCTTGAAAGCATTCCTTATTCAGCTCTTTTCTTTTACAATTTTCACTTTCACAAGATTTATTTTTCGACCTAGGAGATCATATTTGGAATTATCTAATTCTGGATCTTGGTCTGTATCTGAACTGCAATCGCTATCACTAGAATCTTCATAAGAGCCAAGTCCAGGTAAGATGCCAATGCATTTCATACCACCTATATCATTTACTATAGTTTTATTTTGTACAGAGACATCTTCAATCATTTCAGTCTCACATTCTATATTTTCATTTGCTTTCTGATCGTCTTCTTCACAATCTTTACTCTTAGATGATTCTTTACTCTCATCGGATGATAGTTTTCTCTTAACACCTCGAGTGGTTTCCCCTATAAAAATATGAATTTAAAAATAAATTGGTAATAAGAAACATGAAACTTTAATTTATTCTTCCCAAATAATATTCAATAATTGTTGCTTTAAAGTTTTACGAAAGACTTATTATAACAAGAATATTTATGCTGTCTTACCTGGTTTTTGCTTTTCAGAGCGCTTGACTACAACACCAGCTAGCAGTTTCAATTGTGAAGTGCGACTACTAACAAAATATAATATGTTCTCTTAACATCACAAATTGCAATGCAAAAGAGTTAATACATTACCTTCCAGAAGAAACATTTTTATTTGCCATTTGAGGATTTTTTAATTCTTGTTTTAACTTTTCGTTCAATGACTTTTCTTGCAAGGAAGCAACCGCAGCTTTAAAATCACGCATTTCTTTTTCTTCTTCAAGATTCTTCTTACGTTCTTCTTCTAACTTAGTTCTATCTACTAAATCCAGAAATTCTACTTCATCATCATCTAAACCTTTTATCATATTCTCTAAAATAAATGAAAATATTTTTTTTCAAAGTTTTATACATATTACATTTTTAATAACGATGATATTTTTAAGCATTTGTATTAACTTACTTAGCTTATGTGCTTCTTCGTATTCTGCATCTCGTTTATTCTTTTGTTCTTGTAACCGTTCATACAATGATCTTGGATCATATGGCTCTTCTGGAGCTTCTGTAAATGTTAAATACTTAATTTGGTATATACATAAATAAATAAATATAATACTATAAAATAATAATAACCTAATGGTTGGTCTGCAGTTCTTACACGTTCCCATTCTTGCTGTCTTACTCTTCGTTGTTCAGCAATCTCTGCTTCTGATATAAATCCTGAACTCATTTTGAACTAAACAAAAAAATGAATCTTAGACATTGATATTCTTATAATTTTTTTAAATGTTATAGAATAAGATTACATTAATAGTGTAGAATAAGATACATTTTTATAATAAATCTTTTTGACTGTCTACATTATAAAAAACAATAATTAACGTTAAATAAAGTATAAAACTTCTTAAAATTGAAATTTTACTTGTAATAACGATGGCAAAAGAAAAGAGGAGGGTTGGCATTTTAATTTGTCTGCATAATAATAAATAGCCTATATTTTATAATAAAAACGATATAACATACGTATATATACTTACACAAATATATAAATAAATATTGGAGTAAAAACTTACCAATGTTATCTACAAGACAAAATGCTATGACAGATGCTGCTAGTTCACAATTGGACAAAAATATGCTCGAGTAACTTTTTAATTTCAGAAATGTGAAACATCTATAACAAATTATTTATTTCTTGCCACAAAAATGTGCATATACATATATATGTAAAGTTTATACCTAGTATCTTAAATTATAGATATCGAAATTTTAATTATGTATGTTTATAGCATTTTTCTAATAATATTTGGCACTTGAAATTTGATAGACTAATAACTTTTTTAGCTTTATCGGTTGGCAACAGTTTTTTAAAATTCTTAAGTTTAGTACAATTCCTTTCAGTATAAAGATACTATGTTTGTCAATTATAAGCGAAGACAAATATTTCGTATCTTTCCAATGGTCGCCATATTACTCTGTATTAGTAGATACAAATTTAAATAATTAAAATATTACAATTACTCTATACAAGAATATTTAAAATCATTTAAAATTGAATGACTTTTTACGATATTATTTAAAACGTAATCACACAACGATACTCGACATACATTGCAGATTGTTAATAGTGTGACTGAATTACGACTCTTTACGCATGCGTATAAAATTAGATAAGATTGAATATATCTGTAGATGACCGATATATTTCGATTCAACTAAATTTTATTACACCGACGGTTACACAATTGTGTATGCCATCTTTAGGTTTATAACGTTCAGATAATTAGATCTTTTTGGTTGAATATATTAATCATCTTGTAATTAAAATTATGTATTTCTGCAACTATTTACAATATCATTAAAACAGAATTTACAAATAGTAATTAGGGGTCAATCAGAAATGAAACAAAAAGACGGTATTTCAAATATTTTTTATTTTTGTAACAAATTATGCATAGGTTTCTGGGAATTCAAATGTTACATCCCGACCAGTTAATTTTTTATACACAGCAGCAAAGGTATCAACCTGTAGAACAAAACCTTTTTTAAGTATTGAGTTTTAAAATATACAACATTAAATTTTTAAAAACATTATTACCTTATGCTCAATGTTAGTTTGTTCATTTTTATCCAAATGAACTTTGATCAGCTGTGTACCATCTAATTTAATTCTGATGCGTTTGCCAACAATTTCAACAGGGTATACTAAATCTTCAAGCAACGCATCATATACTGCAGTCAAGGTACGGCTAAGAAAGATTGCTTACATGTACTTATTATTGATCAGTGAATAATTATGTACAATTATAAAAATTACCTTCTTGGCCTCTTTTGCTTGTTCTTGGTGCGTGTCTTCCTTGTTGGCTTTGGTAAAATCTTACGTTCTCCAACAAACATTACATGTTTCCCAGAAAATTTCTTTTCTAACTCACGTACGAGTCGTGTTTGAATTTTCTGGAAAGCTTTCAGTTTTGGCATTGGTACATATATAATTATGCACTACAACAAAACATGTTGTTACTAAATATATTTTACATTTAACGGATTGCAAGTTTCTCATATTTCAAAAAAATGAATATGTTTAATTGTTTGAATAATAATATATGGTTGACAGATGTAGATAAGCATTGGAACATGTTGCATTTACTATTGCATAATTAATATTTAAAAATGTTAATTTTTTTATTTATTTTGTAATTTAATAAAAATTGAATTCTGTAAAATTGTTGTGAATTATAATGAACAGTTAGTACGTACATTATACTTTCCAAATAAAATTGACGATTCGTTATTTCTTTTCCATTATATCAATACCTTCAAAGGTAATTAATATTGCATAATATGGTTAATAACATATATTATTGGTGAAAAAACACTGATCAATAAATATAAGTTATGCTACTTATTAACATTACCTTCTTATTATTGGTTTCTATTTCCCGAGCCTTAGTGATATATAATTCTCTTAATTGCGATTTCAAATCACTGTTCATTTCCAGCTCTAGAAGAGCTTGAGAAATGCTGGCTTCGAACGCATCAGGTTCGGCTCCACCACTCTTTATTATTTTAGCGTTAGCCGTGAACATCTGAAAAATGATTAAAGGTTAAGTCATTGTTTATATGAATTTTAGGAACATAATGGTATTTTTTGCTTAATAATCATTGTAATCACATTATAATTTTCACTTAGAGTTTCAATTATATCAAAAATTACAGTTTTAAAATTGAAGTTTGCGAATTATAATATGCTGTCAAATAGTCCGAGTAACTAGGAACAAACAAAATCCACTTTTATCAAACTTCCTACACACGATCCAGAAAAAACTCTTAATTTATTTAATAAATTGTAACATTATGAGTAACATGCAAGACAACATTTAACATTTTTTTAATTCATTATAACATTGTTTTTAGCTAAAAGCTAAACTGTTAAACGCGTGTACCTTGACGATATCCGCACCGCGTGAAAAAGACTTCGAAAGGGGTTAAGCAGAATTGCCAACTACTTGAGATAAAAGTTTCTCTGTATATAAGATCACATTCGGCTGTGATTGTCATATTGATATTTGTGTATAATGTAAAGTTTACATTTTATCACTTTCGAACATTTATTTTAACTATTCCTTTTAGTAGAAGCTAAAACTTGACGACTTCAGTATGAAATTAATATTTCATTCTCAAATTCTTAAGAGAAATGAGCTCTATTTGAGTATAATTATAATACCTTGTAAGTTATTATGTAAATAATAATATTTATTACAAAGCATACGTTTATTAAATGTATATTAACATTTAAATTTCTTTAAGAATTTTATTTATTTTAAGTTTCTTTTTCAAAAGTCCACTCTAGTAGTTTTAAGTACCCACTGTTGGCAAAACTTGAAACTACTCGAAGCACCATTCGTTATTCTATCTATGTATATATTTTAGTCTCAGATTATACACCACTAATATCGTTTCTGAAGTTGAGGAGAAAATACACTGATAATTTAATTTTAATAATATGGCAGAAGCTAAAATAACCGAACCAGGGGCTCCGCAGCCGAGTATCAATCTATTTGGAATACCAATCATTCAAACAAAATGTCAAGGAGACTCTCTATTCTATGGAATTTTAGGAGGTTTTGCAGGTGGATTAACAACATATTTGTTCACAAGCCAGGCAAAAAACTCGATGCATACAGGAATGATATGTTATGTGGCAACAACACTTTGTTATGCCTTTTATTGTATGAAGCAATTTCGAGAAACGCAGAAACAAATGAGGCTCGTAAAACAAATGATGTATGAAGCAAGTTTAAAGCAATCTGCAGAAACTGATACATTAGTAACATATAAACCTGAAAAAATTTAAGAAACATACTCTTCAATGCAAAAAAGTGTGTATATATGTATTTTACACTTATTCTACATAAAAAAATGTATGACAAACCTGTATTATTTATAATATATATACGTGCAGCTCATAGCCTTATAGTATATAGATAACTATACATAATACATATAGTTGTTAATAGTTGTTTCATTTTCAGGGTTAAAGATTACTTGTAGTTTATTATTTTTGTTAAAAATAAAAATATAATTTATAATATGTCTATCTTCTAAAATTTGAGTCACTGCATTAAAGTAATATTGAAAATTTTAGTGAAGCTTGAAATCTATAACTCATAATATACTTGTGTTTAAATACTAAAATAGTAAAACTTTAACACGTTGGCTAACAATATCATATATTTATGACAATCAATATTTTATATTTCATGTAAAAAGATTTATATGTTTTCGTCTAATATTGTAATACATGTTATAATTTGCAGGAGGTTGAGTAGATATTTTTTCTTACATATTATTTATATTTTGTAAAGACAATATGATGTATTTAATAAAATATTGCAATCATGAAGATTGCTACCGAAGCAAATGCTGGTAACACATGGATTAACATTATATGTTGAATTGTAGAACCGTGTATGTATAGTTCAATACTTAAGTTGAAAAGGAATTAATCGATTTTGACTTAGTTTAATTTAATATGATTATCCCTTTGGACATGAATTAAAAAAAGTTCTTGGAAGAGATTCTAGAAACAAAAAGCTATTAAAAATTATAATTGATTGTAAGAATAAATAATATTTCATCATTTATTCTGAAAAACATCCTAAAACTGGAAATAGTTCTTTGTATTTGAAAGTTTTTTCACAATAAATATTTATTTTCTTAGGAAATATTGGTGATATCTTTTATAACTAATATAAAGAGAAATCATGCAGAAATTAAGGATAAAAATATTTTATTGCAGTGTCTTATGTATTAATATATTTACAGAATTTAATATTAAATATTGAGAGCTCTGGTTAGGTAAAGTGTTCTCAACACCTTAGGTTAGTTCACTAACTTAAGATAATTAGTGATCTCAAGTGCAAATGTCTAAAACGAAACATAAGCAGTGCAATGTTATTGTATCTTTTCTTAAATATTTCAAAATCTACTACAATATGATTATGACTGTTATATATCGTTATCTCATTTTTTTGTTTATCTTAGTAAAATTTATGTTATTGCTTTTGCAATATCATTTGAAATTTTACTATATTTAAAATTCATTAATCTCGTAATAAGATTTGTAAAACTAATTTACGCAATGTTTTGTCTATGTTTTACGAAAAACATAAGTCAAAATCTTAAACAATATGAAATTAGAATATTTCTAATTATAAGTTCTATTTCTACATTCAAGAAATGATAACATACGTCTTAATAAAATAAAGAAACATGACATTTTTTGAATTTGGGAATATATTCCCTGTACACTTCCGTTCTTTGTTACTATCGCGTAGTCAATAACGACCACATGTTGAAGTCCGAGGAGACCCGAACATTGTGAGTAGAAGAGTCCCCTTGCCTCTCTGATGTTTCAGCTTGATGGTAGTCGGTCAATTCTTCGGAGCATCACTACCGAAATACTCTTAAGTACATGAATGTACTGTGGAATAGTTACAGGCATAGCCACAGGCTCACTGCTTCTGTAATGGCTTACATGAGAGTTGTCAAACGTGGTCACCATAGTGGCATTATTTTCATAAAAAGTTATCCAATTCCATATCTGTTTCTACCTATTTGTATTGAACACTACATAGAACTGCTCACGTAATAAGTAAAACTGATTTCTATATTTCTGAAACAAGGTATGGAACTGTCGCGATTGATTAGAACTGTTAGAACTTTTATTAAGAAGAGTACGTGAAATACAAAAAGATCGATGGTGTATTTGTATTCAAATTTTTTTCATAATTATCTCGTAAAGTATAAGGTTGCAAAACTTCTGTCAGAAAAAACAGTTGTTCAAAACATCAATTTCGTGTTTCACGTACTTTTGTTAATAAAAGTTCCAACAATCCTAGTTCATCGCTGCAGTTTCATACCTTGTTTCGTATATATATAGAAATGAGTTTTACTTATTGTAGAGGCGTCTACAGTGCGTTACTGACATGATCCCAGCCGGTCATGGTTCAGAAGTGAAGAGGAGCAATGGGACTCGGTCGCACACTCCACTTCAGCTCGCTGCTCGGCCAGTAACAAAAACATGCCGAAACTAATTCCGCCATTACTATTGGGCCGAGCGTCGCGAGTGGACGTCTCCCCTTGCCCCCGTTCTCTTTTAAGCCATAGGCCGGTTTGGCTTACGTCAGTAATGCACTGTACATAACTCACTACTCTCACGTTAGTAACTCGGAAACAGCGTTCCCATAATACCTCTATTCAAGGAGCTGCTCAAGACTGTGTATGTGATCAGTTTTATGTAGTGTTCAATACAAACAGGTAAAAGTAGGTGTGGAGGGGATAACTTTTCGCACACTACGGTGCTCGTGGGTGTTTAACCCAGTTAAATACCCTTGCAGTGGAACGAGGGAACTGCAGTATTACCCACATTAACAAATTATTGAAATCAAAGGGTATTGATATATGCATTAGATTTTACCCAACTTCTATACATACATACAGTGACACACGAAAATATTTGAACACTTACCATGAAATACTTTGTTAGTTGTAATAAATATATTATACAACTCTTATCGAAATATTATAAACATTGTAAGGAGGTATGACTCTCTAGATTATATAGGTAAAGTTTGAAGAAAATCGAAAGATGTATACAATTATTATGAATTATTTCTTATAAACATAAAGATTGCTGAAGCCACAAAAGCATTTGAATACCCAAAAATGAGTTCCAAGAATCAATGTTTCGGGCACTAAATGTAAATATTGAAACGTTAGTCGTCTTCGCACATACATTTGTCAGTCACAGTGTCAGCATTTATAGTGAAATATTACGATATTGATCATGTGTCCTAAAACATCTGAAATTCCTGAAAGTGGAAGAAAATTAATTGTCAAGTGGCGTAAGGAAGGAAAGGCGTATGGTGAAATAAGTAAATTATTAAATATAAATAGATCTACAATCTACGTTATATTATTAAAAAATGAAAATCTCAAGGAATGAATCTACCTGTAAAAAGACAGGTAGTGGATCAGAATAGACAGCGTGGAACAGCGTAGTACTGCGTAGAATAGATTAAGATACATAGTTTAGTTTAATTCTAATCACTTATAGTCCATTTCAATAAAAATACAAGTACACCTGTGCTTGTTCTCGCCAAAACCTTCTAATCCCACAATATTGATGCTATTTTTAGAGAAACAATTGCTTCCACTGTTCTCCCTTCCCAATTTATCAGATCTTGTTTTGTTAAAATCTTTTAAGCAGATGCTTCTTCTGTTAGTTTGAAACTGCCTTTCGCTGTCTTCGAATCTCGAAAGTTTAGATCTATTACAAAGTTATAAAATATCCTTGAAAATGCAGTAGAACCTGCGCACCAACCTAATGGCCAACCTAATGGCGATGCGATAAATGTGCGGCCCGCAAAGTGTTACACCCGCATTACTTCCAGGGTCTTTTTTCATGAACAACAGTAGTCGGATTTCTGTGTTGCCAGAATTCCAAAAACATAAGAAGTCGCATAATCGAAATTAACGCCAATGTTCGTTACTTTTCATTTCGTTGTATTCTGTTCCGTCTAATAAGTACTACTGAAACAGCTGGGGGAAGTAAATAAGTAGGAATGGAGAGAGTAATTTTCATCGACCAGGTCGTGAGGGGAAAGGGTCTGAATGGCTCACGGTCACCATTTCCATATTTGTGCTGCATGTAAATGTAAGAAGACATTTTCTTTTAACTTGTCAGCCGTGGTTGAAATTATACTGGGTACATCCTTCGGGTTGGAAAGATTAACCCTTAACGGACCAATGTCGCCATATAAACGGCATGGCACTTTTATTTACGTCCAATACCGCATATATGGCAGCAAAAGTCATTTTATTATTTTTGTTATTGTTATTGTTGTAATATTTACAATTAACGCGTTAAGTATTGTGCTAGGTCCCTTTGGCATTACATTCAAATTTTTCGTCTTCGTCTTCACTTATTGGACCTTAACGGTCCGTTAATGCCAAATTTTAGTGCTACATAACTTTTGAATGAATCATGATTCGCCATCATTTCAAGTTGCAAATTGTCCAGGACAATGATCTTTACCGTTTGAGTGTTACAGGTCTTCGCAAAAATCCTATTAAAGAATGCCAACCGGTGCGTTTCTTTCGTTTCAGCTCAGAAACTGAATTACGTTTTGGTATTTTCACGTGAAAAAATTCTAAATGGCGCGATCGATCCATTTTTCTATTTCTAAGCAGGTAATAATGGAGATAAAAATCAATAAATAAACTCAATTTCATCCTATGAACCAATAAGCTGGCACATTTAGGTAGTGTAACAGAGAAGCACGATCGTGTCGCTTAGCATTCAAACGGTTAATATTATATACGGTCAAGATCAAAGTGATACGAGAGGTTGTTATTTATCTGATTAATTAACAAAATTAACTACAGGGAAAAAGAATGCCTATAAGCACAAATATGATCAGAAACAGAAACCGGATACATAGAAACTTACAGATAGTACTTACATGTGTATATGATAGATATTCAAACTCATTTTTCTGGAAGAACGAAGACTTAAATGAAAAATATGTTATTCTTTCCTTTTAACTCATGTTCGTATGTAGAAACAACCTACGATCACTTGTACCACAATCACGGAGACACTTTGTATAGAGGGTGAGTTCTACAATTGAGACCGGATGTACAGTGGGGCCCCGAGTTACGTAGTCCCGATTTACGTCCGTTTCACGTAACGCGGTAGTCAGTTGTTTTTAACCAATATTTCTTGTTCTATGTGTTTGGTTTTAATTGTTTAAGGTTAAGAACTTATAGAAATATATTTACAGTAAACGTAAGTACACAAGTGTAATTAACCGACAGTGAAGACCATTATTTACGTATGTGTAATGGCACCACAGCGTCAGATGTCCTCATCTTAAATGATATTGTTAAACAAAGAAATGCTATGAGTTTAGAAACTAAATTAGAAATAATAAAACTTTTTGATAGTGGAGTACAAGGTTCTGAGATTGACTAGAAAATAAATTTGTCAGAAGCAATTGTGAGGGCGTTTCTTAAAGATAAAGAACGTATTTTACTACGTTGACTGCCACGGTGGTCATCGATGACCGGAGCTTCTAAATGACTTGGAAACAATTATACGTCGTAAGATAACCGACATCCAATAAATCAACGTGTTAATAGAAATAAAAGAAGACCATCGTAACACGTTCCAATATTATTCGTGAACATCGTGATCTCTTTGATTCTTCGTAAACATTTGTTAAATGTAATCCCTTCTATCATTTGTGTACGTTTAAAAGAAAATGTGTCTTCTAATCTGATCAATCTACCCTCTGTACCCCGACTTACGTCCTTCTTGACTTACGTCACCCACTCCGGAACCAATTAGGACGTAAGTCCGGGGCCCCACTGTATCTCAAAAATAATAGGATATACTTACTACACGTATATTTTTTTTACTGAAGACAAATTCTTCGCAACATTCCGTGTAAGAATGTGTTACAGTATAATCGTTTGAGTACGAGAAGTTTTTAAAAAAACGGTCGAAAAAAGCCGAACAGCGCAGTAGCGCTTGTCTTAATCTATGTTAATACTATTATGTATATATATTAATTTATAATAGGTAACAACAAAATACAAAATGTATTACTTGGATTACTTATATGCAAAAAAAAGTAGCGATGCGACGTACATGCGTCTGAAAAGTTGAGCGCGTTTCGTCAGATTGCGAGTGCGCCGTCAGTTGTCCGTATCGTACAAATGCACTGAATTTTTTCGACATGAAATCTGAAGAGCGCGAAAGTGGCGCGTTGAACTCAAACGGATAATGTGAAAAGAATCAACAATTCACGAGATGTGAATTTCTCCCAAAAAGGAGAAAACTTCTACACTTATTCTATGCCTACGCTCACTCAGAAGCATCACAATTAATAGTAGAAAAATAACATTCAATTCGGATTTGGATGAATTAAGTGATATTTATATTTGTTAAATTCTATATGAAATCTTCATCGCGAGTCTGACACGATATTGTAGGATAAGAATTTAAAACTCGCATGGGAAACTAAAGGAACGTGATATGCAATGCCCTTTCCTAGTACACGAATATGAATTATAAGGTAGCGAGTGCGTTCTCAGCTGTAAAGCGGTGACCCGATCAGTAAGGGCCTAAGTACAAGGGCGACGCGATTCCGCCACTTGACGTTAGCGATTTTACGTACATGTACCACATATACAGAGAAAATTTCAGCTTGCACAATATACAAAATTAAAAAAAAGAAAGAAATACATATATTTGTCATCCTTGTCGCGATTCATTGCCGTTTTATCAATTGCGCGGTGTCGCTGGCGATCCAGCCGCACAGTAGTCGATTTGGCCGTTTTAGACGTTAAAATGTCAATTTCAAAAATTTTGCGTAAGCTGAACAAATTTTTGCTCCCCGAGATAGTTGAATGTGTAAGGAATAAGATACCAATTGTTTTCTTTTCATTCGTGCATTCATAGACTCATATATTTTATTGAAAATTGGGAGTTTTCGTTGCGCACCATTTGCTCTTCCAATTCTTCGAAACATTTTTGTGTGTTGAAAGAAACCTTCATTACAGAAAAAGTATACACAATTTCTTTGAAACACATAAAATATTTTGTTGAAAAAATTCAATAAAAGGAAAAGTTGAACGCTGGTCGTCTGCATTTCGTCAATCGGTGCTTTCTTAAGAGAAGATGTCCCTTTATGTCATATATTTGAAAGCAGATAATTACTTTATCTTCATTTTTTGGATTGAACTAACATATCAAAATCTCTGACTTTTCTACCTATAAACAACAGATACTGTTTCACTGTGCATAATCTATCAACTAAACTTTACCGTATTAATAAATCACTGTTTGAACATAGGTACCTACTTACGTATTCAAAATGTAATAATAATAATGATTAAGATTGTTTTGACAGAGTCCATAACTATTGCTCTTAAAGAACTAGACACTTTTAACATTGAAAATTCATATTTCTTTTACTTGAGGCCGATGGAAATAAATAGTTTCTATGTTATATTCAACGCACAAGAATCCATAAGAAACACGTACTGATTGTTAGGGTAAAAAAGGAAAGTTTATTAGTTTAGAGTTTAAAATATACAATACAGAGGAAGGGGCGACAAGATAGGACTATCGTCTATTTCGTGTTAGTTACCTATGCATACTAAAAATTAAAACAAAATACGTCAATTGTAGAATAGACGTTACGTTGCTACTGGTTCAAGTCAGTTTGCTTCGTTCTTGTGCGCTTATCAGTCATAATTCTGATTCTTACGTTTGTATAATCCTATTCTTTAATGTGTCTTAAACATTAACAGATAAGTCATTCTCAATGACATTATCATTTTATCATTATCAGACAGCCAATGTCTTAAGGTTTTTATTTATCCGCTAATAAATAATAATCATAAACAAATAATGATATTATCAGTCAATTTATTTCGATGCAGCATTTGAAGTAAGATGAGGATATTTTCATAATATCATTTAATTTTTAGATAAAATGTATAAAAAAACAGGAAAACCGAGTTGCTCTGAAGAATCAGTATAGAATGATGTTGATGCAGTTATACAAAAAGAAATGAGACATTGTAAAGCGGCTGCAGATTTTAATATACCTTCATCAAAAAGGCGCTCAAGAAGTATTTAAGACTAACTTGGGACACTTCCGAAACCGTTTCCAATTAATATTCCATATGTATGTAACATATGACATATGTAAATAAATGCGTTCTATTTTATCCTATCTCCCTCTATTCAGTTTTAAATGTATTTAAATTCGACTTGAATTTTTTGTCACAACTTTTCAACTACGCAATACAAAAAGAAATATCTCAGGTAAACATTCTATATTTTGATGAAAGTAAATAGTTGATTTTTTAAAATAGGCCATTTCACGTAAGAAATAAAAATAGGATCATGTCTTGTTTGTTTTCTTAACAATCGTCTCAAATTTGAACTTTTTCGTGATCTGTAATAGTCACTGGGTGATCTTTATAGAGTTCCTTGTCCTACACGTGAATCCGAAAATCAAATTGTTCGATCACCCTCGGTTTTTAAAAAACGAGTTTTCGTAGAAGCGGTCGATTTTTTGTAGAAAAAAGTATTACGTGAAAAGTAAAAACGGTAGACAGTTTAAATTTGTCGTAAAAAATACAGAAGAGTTGCCAGAACGTGTAGTTATAAATTTTGAATATTTTATATCATTAAGTACTTGTATGTGATGATCAAAGTTTTAAAAAGGGTAGGGGCGTATATGTATTTTTATATGTTTTCATAATAATCATAAAAAAGCTTTTCCCGATTATTTTGTTTTAAGGTACTGTCATTGCAACATTGGAACTTATCGTTTTTCACAAAATTTCCCACCGATTCTTAAGTTGGGAATCCTTTGTTTATAAGAGAAACGAAGACTTTTCGAATTATGTAACATATCTAACGATTTCTATGACAGATCTCAGCTCTAACTAAAACGTTACATAACAACTCAGAGAATCTCAAGAGCTATAAATCAAGTATTAAACGCAGGAATTAAAAGATTATACAATATTTCTGAAGTGCGTGCCTATTCTCCGTTATTGCTACATCTTAAGAAAGAATACATTACTATCGGATAGTTATAAATGAAAAATCGAAATTATATGCTAAAAGTATTAAGTATTGAATTGGTTAAAAAAAAATTACGAAATAACGCTTAAATATGATTCGCATTATTTTTAGATATTGTTTCATGAATTTCAAGTATTGGAACATTTCAGAGAGGACACTAATAATCCATAATCATAACAATAAACCCTGTTACTTTGTAAATAATTACATAGGATAGGAATATTAAATAGAAAATTGATATGATAGAAATAGACAACTTTCAAATAATAAAAATGTCAAGTGTCTTTTATTTATATAAATAACTAACTCTAACAAATTTAATAGTACCTACATCTATATTAGTGGAATGATGATTCAATAAAAATAAAGATAGTAACTTTGTCATGATCAAGACTAGTATAGGAATGATTATTTTAATATTTTTAATGGTATAATTCATGATATTTTGTATAACAATATGTTGAATATATATTCAATGTTATATACTAAAGTGTTATTATTTACATATATTAGCAATCAAAATTTTCATAATTTGTATATACTTTTAGTACCTATTGACTTTTTATTAAATATTAAGTTATGTGTAATATATTACATGAGTAATGGTATAACACTTTTATATAATCCATTAATCACTGTGTATTATTATGGTTTATTGTTTCAGAATTATGACAAGTTCTTGTGACAAGAGTACATTAATAGTCTACAATGTAGACTCTACGTGAACATACAAAAACAGGGATAGCATTTATGTAGTAGTCATCACATCATTAAATATAAATTGTAAACTTATTGCGTAAAATATATACAACAGTGCAGGAACAAACAATAATTATATTACAATTATTTCAAATTACATCAAATTATCTAAATTTAATATTTTAATTTGTAAGCATTAATAAAATTATTTTCTAATTATTGTTTTCTTACAGAATATTGTTTTCACCATTTTCACTGCTGAATTTGAGAAATATTAAAGTATTTTGATGCAGAAAAATATTATTACAAGGATATACGAAATTTTGTCTAATTACTGGTAATTAAATATTTCCGTTATTCAGAGCTGAAAAAAACTACTTAGAATAAAGTTTTATTATCTAAGCGAATAAATTTGATAAATTACATCCTAATGTTATTGTGATATTACTAACTTGTGGATCTCTATTGGAAAGTAGTTTTCCTGCTCTCCGTAATGAGTATTATAAGATAAATATACATTTCAGTACAGATCCATGAGTTAATAATAGCATGATAACGTTAAGACATATTATCGTAAATTTCTGGAAATTATATCACCGAAACGGTAGGATTGTTAAAGTCTTTAAATTCCATTTTTTAATGATTATAAAAATATGAAATAAATAATACAGTTTCGAAAAAATGACCTTGAAAAAAACATTTTTCAAGACCATCAAATTAGTTTAAAAGTAACACAGGTACTTAGGGTTTTTCTATTTAGGTAAAATTCAAATTTGCCCCTTTAATTAATGCAATTTTATTTTAATGTTTTCTTTTAGCAAAAAATAACGAAGATATTTAAATGTGCTAATTTAAACGAGGCACCTTGTATGTAAATGACTAAATTTTTTAGAATGCACTTGTCTTTCATTGCATAAATTGCACAAATTGTATAAATCTAAATAAAGTATGTTTACATAAATGTAAGTAAGAGTGTTCATTTTTCATTGAAATTGTGAAATTTAATGTTTTTCTTTAAGATTTAAGCAATACATGATCCAAATAAATAAATTTAGAAAATAAAATGAATAGCTTACAAATTGTAAAATGATAATTCAACGAATTCCTAAAATCATAAACAAAACCCTCAAAATTAATATTATATTTTATAACTGAATATAAATTAGGTGTTGTATGTTTTGTACACAGTTGTCTTTATGTAATTACATAGAAAAGGAACTCTTCAAAAGTAAACATTTTTTTCAGTACAATTTTAGTAATACTTGCAATAAAAATAAAGATGGAATAGTTAAGCAGGTAGACACTCGTGTCTTTTGAAATTCTCAACATTCTTATAAAATAATTTATGCATAGACAATATATGTATATAAATCAGTGCTATAAAATAACAATACAACTTTTTAACTTCTATACATGTTATAAATTTCAAGAAAGCTGTACATTATCTTGACTTTTTCTGTTGCATTTTTCTAAATAACACACATGCCTACAAAATTTGGGCATTATAATTATTAGTTATAAGAGTGAATAATTCGTGTATAGATAATTTTTTGGACTAGATATTATCAAGTGCACATACAATATACAATATAGTATATAGTATATATACAGTAACATGCTGTATTAAATGTATTTCACGTAAAAAAGTTATGAACAGTTATAAATTTTTTGTACATATAGAGTATACAAAAAGAAATAATATTAATTGTGAAAATTGCAATAGCTAAGTTTTCACATTTTGGCATTGAATAATTAGAATGACCATGTACATAATACTCATACAAACTTGACAATTTGACATTCTTTTATCAACGCTATTTGTAACAACGATTATTGAATCGAACATACTTTTGAACTTCCATGCGAGTCATCCATAGCAGCTGCTCGTCTTTTTATGCCTTCTAAATATACTTCACGATTAAATAAACCACCACCTAGAGGAATTCTGTAAGAAATGTTAATTAAGAAAAATAATATCTTCCACGCATGAATTACATAAGTTGTAAATACGTACGTGTCAATACCAGGTCTTATGATTGTTTTGAAAACACCCCACACAGGTTTATGATCTGAAGTGCAAATGCTTGGAACAGAATCGTATACCAAACACTCTATAACACCATCTTTATATGAATTTGTGCTTTCATGACTAACTCTTCGAATGTATCCCCTTGAATGCCCTTTTCCCTTAAAGAGAATTCTATCAGTATATGCAGGTGTACGTTGTTTACTACTCGAATCAAAATTTTGTGTTCCAGGATCATATTTATATGTGGGTGGAAATGTAATTGGTGCTTCTTCAAATCCACGTAAAACAGCTCCTTCGTTGAGAATTGTTCGTAATTGATCTTTATGTAAATTTACTGGGGATTGTTGAGGAAAACATGTATCGGTAACCCACTGTATAACTTCTTCTCTTGGTTGAGCTAAACGGAAATTTAAGTCTCCGCACCAAAATACACAATCAAAATTTTGAGTTACATCTAAAATTTATATATTCATTAAATGTTTTTACTATTAATTAGAATTAGATATATAAATATATTGAAATTAATACTAATATTTATACCTTTGCTTCTATGTCTTGTAGGTAAATCTTTAGGAAGATCAAGGTTTCTAACTATTCTTTTAATATCGTTAACTCGTTCCTTGACTTTATCTTGATGTGCAGTTAAATGTGCGGTAACAAAGAGAAAACTGGTACCAAATAACATTAAAGCTATAGCTACTGCTCCCTTCGTTCTAAAAGCAGTACCTGTTCTAGTAGAAAAACTAGAGTCTTCGGCAATGGAACAGAACCAAATTAAATCCCTTCTTAAAAAGAGCGCAAGATGTAATGTACCTAAACCAGTACTAAAAAGTAATACATGGGAAGGACCAAGAGTTTCTTGTAAAGCTGCTTCCCATTCATTTCGTTCCGAACATGACTCTTGTGTTCCAATTGCTAATAAATCTGGAACAGTTTCTATATCAGAAGGTAACATAAAATCATTTAACTCTTTCGGTGGATTTTGTCCATTCATGTTCCATGTCCCAACAAAAATTTTCAGTTCACGATTTGGCAATACTTTCTCAAGTTCTAGAGGTCCGAGTAATGAATTTGCAGCAATTCTTCCATGAAGAAAATTTCTATAAGAAGGTATTAAATTATTATATTTTCTTACATGTGAAACTAATAATTATAATTTTACTGTCAACTTTTATACCTCTCTCGTGCTTTTTGTGTAGGGATCAAATTAAGAACTTGAGCAGCTAATAATGCTTGTTTCGCCAAACTATCCATCGATACTCCTGTTGCATGAGACTGACGATCCTTTTTTTTAGACAAAGCATCGTGAGATGTAGAACGTGGTTTAAGTTGAACAGGTGCACTTCTGACAGATTCGGGACTTGAATGTTGCATGGAATTTGTTGGTGAATTTACAATTAAATTATCAACAGATCGTCTACGACTTAGTTTTTGTCTTATATATGCAGGAACATTTGGGGAGATAGATCCAGAAGATGAAATTTCACCTAAAACACCAAAAATAACAGAATTATGTAGAAAGTCCCCACATTTGTTGTTGCAAATATAAAATTTAATGTCCACAGGATCATTAACAAATCATTTTAGGTGTAGCGATGATATCAAGTTTTGCTTATGACATGTAAAAATTCATTTCTTTTTTAATAAATGCAAAAGACATGTACCACAGAACTGAAATAAAATCATGCTACAAATAGTTTAGAATAGTGTAAAACAATTATTAAAAATATCTAAATATCTTCACTGACATAATGATAATTATTTAAGTAAATTTCCTTTTTCTGTCTACAAAAGTGAATATATAACTATTAATGTTATGTTAGTAAGAAATGAAATTAAAAATACAAAATAAAATAACAAATGATAATGTGGTATGCATCTGTAATGAAACCAAATTGGTGTAATTGCTTCCTATTAGGTACTTCAGAGTGACATAGTCATCGAGGAAGTAACAAAAATATACACAATTTATATCAAATATATGTCCTAATAAAACTTTTGCAGTGGTTTAGTCAATATATGTAAACACACAATATTTTCTTCGTTTCTATAGATCACAGATATGTACAAAATATTATAAATCATTGATAACAAAGAGTAAAATACTATCCAATATCCTTAATGACATTTGTATTACAAGTAATGACATATTTTAAATATGTCATCTTATAAGTATATGTCTTATAAATGTATAAATAGAAAAAATAATGGGACATTTATGTAATAATAAAATATAAAATATTTTTAAAAAGCACAACAAATTAAATTTTAAGCAAATATACTTTATTATACCTTCTTTTCCTGGTTTTTCAGTGTTATTAGATTCACTATATTGAACCATACTGTAAACTTCATGAGGATCGTAGAACTGCCGTTCCATTTCCAAGAAGAAATACGTGATATATTTTCCTTTAGTAAAATATTCATCCTTTAAATTTATTTCACCTTTCTCATAATTAATAAAGAGTTCATTTTCATCTTCTGATGATTCTTCAAATAAATCTTCTGTTAAATCTGTAGAGAAATCACTGTCTTCACTACTCTCTTGGTCTATTGCTTTTATGTCTTCTATTAATAATTTAGTTATTTCATATGAAAACCTTGTAGGATTAGTATATGGCATTTTAATAGAAGAATTTGAGTGTGTTGTAAAATCTTTTTTGTTTGGTACAGATACATCGTTTAGCTCATTATAATTTTGTGATAAGAATGCAATTTTCATATCTAAATTTCTATCTGAACCAGATATAAACTCTTTTCTTTCTCTGTTCATATTAATATCATCTATACTTCTTGCTTTTGTACATTTTGGGAAGTCGAATGTATTTATACATAGATTATCGTCATATGTATTATTCTTTTGCTCTGTACTTGGAGTTATATTAAACACAATTTTTGTATTGTTATGATATTTTTTATCACAAGAATTATCAGTAACTATAACATTTTGAGTACTGCTTTCAATACTGTCAAGATTTAATTCATCGTTAACATTGGATTGTAACACTGATACATTTTTATTTTTATCACTACAAAGTTTAATACTTAAATCATGAATACATTCTGTTGAAGTTTCTCCAGTTTCTGGACTGTGTCTTCTTCCATTTCCTAATTTGTCACTTTTATTTTTTTTTAACTTTTTATATAATTTATTAAGGAAAGAAGGTTTTTTTGCTTTAGTATATAAATTTGCCATTTTTTGAAAAACATTGAAATTGTGCTTTAAACATGTTCACGTGTCAAAGATAAAGTGTCAACTGATTGTCAGTAAAGCCTACACGTTCTCATTTAAGAACAATAAAGTCAATTCCTTTTCTACCATAATGAGGCATGTGATAAGGTGGGGATAGTCAAGGTCAGTATTTCATTTCACCATATTACTCAGTTAACAGAAAAAGGAATGAGTATAAAAAACCCATGCATTTTAGTGAATTCAACATAAATTTAAACTTGTTTTCAAATTATGCTGATTTAATGGTATAAGAATTTAAATACATATAAGGAAGAAGGAAATAAAATTCTTAATTTAAATTAAAGTCAATTCTATATTTATGTCACTCCAAGTAACTTTTAAGAATCAAATACTTAATATTTTATCAATTATAAATTTAACTAAAATTAATTATGAAATTAATTTGTTCTTACCTTCAACAAAAGTACCTTGCTGTGGTTCTTTTGCTACAAAAATATTACTTTTCTCCAAAACATTTTCTTGAATATTTTGTGTACTACTCGGTGTATATGCATCTTCTTTTTCCACTAATACATCAGTTTCACAATTTCCATTAACCGAAACTACTTCAGATTTCACAGATGTACGACTTAATGTAGTTGGCGATAATCTACTGACGGTTAAACTTTGTGTAGGCGTTCTGCTGCGTTCAGTTATTGCACAGCATAACGAAAGTTTTGTACTAGTATGAGATCCATGTTGAGAATTTTCTGTTTTAGAATTCTTTTTTGAATTACCATCTTTACAAGATGTTTCCAAACATCCAACCTTAGTTTTTTTATTCATAAGCATAAAACAAAGAGACTTTTTCTTTTGCTTTGACTTAGGAGAAATGTCTGCTTTAACAGCATTTGTTGCATTAGATGCATCATTTTCTGTATTTTGCTCCATAATAATGTTTTCAATTATAGATTTTGAATGTAACATAAATAATTCATTATTAATAAATAAATAAATAATTCTACTAATAATTTTACTAAATACACCAGTCGAAAATGTTAATTATATTTATATTACGTTTAATACTATAAGGTAAATCAAATTTTATTTTGTTGCATAATTTTCATCACTCTTTCTTCTATGTAGCTTATTATTATCATTATCAGTACCATTAATTTGTGATTATAATAAATATTTATGACTTTTATGTCGAATTTTATAAAATCATATGTAATCTTTCCAGTATTTACATTGTACGATATAGACTAGAATCGTAAATTAAGATGTTTTATCTTGTTAACAAATATAATACTTTATTTTATTTTAACATTTGTATTTTTTAAATACTTTATTATACTTTTA